AACTACTATCAGATCTATTTTAAACCCATCAACTACATTTTTATATATCGAAACACTCAACTTAAGTGTAGATTGGAAGAGTTGACAAAAAAAAAAAAAACTAACTGTAGATTGGAAGCCTGTGCTACAACCATTTACTATTATACTTTCCGAATCAAATTCACAACCAATCTGTCTTGATTCGAACGGGTTAAATCTGCTCAAACAAATCATATGCTATGGTTTGATTTTAAACTATAAATGTAACGTTTTTTTGTTCACATGGGATTCATATATATATACATTTTTATATACAGAAAAATGCAAAAAAATAATAAGTTGTTGCCTTGTACTGTTATCACCTGATGTCTCCATTAGCCAAAAGCCAATTTCAGTTCGCTGCTCACGTGACTTGCAAGAGACTTTTTTAGACCCTACCTGCCCTATGCTTATTACAATTTTCAATTTTGTTTGTGGTTGGAAATAAAAATTCCTCTCTTACTTTTCTTTTTGTTTGGAACACATATTTTCTTTCCGCCGGTAATCAATCCAAAAAGGTTACAAAACATAATGATAAATCACTTTCAATTACAAAAGGTCGACAGTAATTTTACTTTTCATGATTGATTATAAAAATGACAGAGAAAAAGAAAATATGTTAAATCAGTGAGATTCATTTACTGAAGAGAGTAGGGTCTTTTCTTTTTTTTTTTGGATTGCAATGAAATTTATACACAAAAAGTTACAAATAATGCTTACAAACAATGATCCTTTTTTTTTTTAGCTTTCCTCTCCCAATGATTGATTATACAGTTGCCTCCGACAACTTTCCCGGTCCAGATGCAGCCAGTAACTCATAGTCCTGAAGAATCAGAAACAGGACTTGAAAATTTGGACCAAGCAATATCTCTATACAACCATTAACAGTTTAAGGGTTGGACAAAACCGAATTAACTGACCGGTTATTAGTAACGGTAAACAGAAAACCGGAATCATTTTACCAATATTGGGTCACTGGTTAACTTAGCAGATCTAATATGGTTTTGAATGGAAAGTTATTGTTTACCTGCACTATAGACTGTGAGCAGAATTTGCCAGAGAGAACGGCGCCTTCCATGGAAGCTAAGTACTTCTGTTTAGTGTAATCTCCAGCTAAGTAGAATCCTTGAATAGGAGATCTCTGCAGAGGACGACATGGTTCGCAGTTTGGGATGGTCTTATACACTGACCTGATAATGCAACAAATGAGAGAGAAAGATGTTGTTGTATCCATAATAATCATAAGCCTGGTCTCATTTTGAAGCTAAATAAATGGGAAACTTTTTGAGATTTGGTTTTGGTATAACTTGTCTAACCTTGGAGTTTTAACGACATGGTACTTGAGAATTTTAGCTTTGCTTTGGTCAGCTGCGATTTCGTCAGGGAAGAGTTTCTCGAGTTCTTTCATTGTTGCATCTATGATGTCTGAGTCGCTCCGTGATATCCATTCCTCCGCAGGTGCAAATACTAGCTCCAGCATCGACCGGTTTGGATCGTAATATTCCTACAGTTTAGAAACGACAACAAAAGAAAGATATATTTATAGTGCACCAAGTTGTGCAACATTATGATAGTAGAGAAACACAGCTAACTCGCATTCGTTACCTTGCAAGTTAAAGACATGTCGGCATATACACTCAGAAGGTTACTTCTGCAAAAGACAAAAAAGAAGACAAGATTAATGAAAATTTTGTAAAAATTTAACCACGAACGAGCCTTTAACTGTTGCTTATTCATTTCAATGGTGGTTCAACTTGATGAAAAGTCAAAGTATTGATGGATCAAATCTTTTATTGAAAATTGAGTTTTAACTAAGTAAGACGAATAGAAATGCCTTAAAACTGCTCAGACAAGAGATTCACCTGCTAAAGAGTAGGTGATCATATGTGTTCTGCAGTTTTCGATCAAACCTGCAATATTAGTTCACAGCACTTAAGAACCACATGTGATCTCACACTGCAATGGCAGGAAGTATCGGTCTCACTAACCATATATGAACGTTAATAACTGGCACCCCAACTAATTTCTCCAATCTCTTGAAGTATGGTATTTCTTTCCAGGAATCCGGCAAAAGGAGTTTCAGGATATCGACTACAAGAAAAACGTAAACAGCATATAAAGCTGGAGCCAAAGAGACCAGAATGGAATGTAAATCCACAAAGAGAGCATAGAAGTGAACCTGGAGTGGCAAACACATAAGCATCTCCTTCGATAGTGCTTCCATCAGTGAGCAAGAAACTCTTAACCGTACCATCATTCTTGAGCTCAATTTTCTTTATCCTGGAGTTAAGTCGTACTTCCCCACCTAGTGATCGAATATGATCCACAATTGGCATACAAAGCCTTTCCGGCGGATTACCATCCAAGAATGCCATCTTGGAACCATGTTTTTCCTGTCAATGCAGATACTATAATTTTGAATTAGCAAATTCTCAAATCCTAACCAACAAGCTAGATATGAGAAACAGCTGATAATGAAGATGAGGTACTACAATTTTCTCAACAATGATGAGTGACCAACTCATAAAGTCAAGAAAAGAGTTAGCCGTCGTGTCAATCTCATTCAAAACTGCCACATCAAATGAATAGATAAAAATCAAAATGAATTTTTTTTTAAGGAAAGCCTTTCACTGATAAGAAACTAAGGTACATCATGTTTTCCAGAGCCAATACTTAGTCCTTCCTCCCACTATAGGAAAAAGAAACAACAGCTAGAACCCTAAGAAGATTTGTTTGAGTAATAAATCATCCTTGTATTTTTTTTCCAACTCAACCATGTGAGTGGTAACTACGATTTTCATTGCAATAAATGTTCACACAAGAGGTGCGATGCGAAAAGAAGAATAGAGAGAAATAACAAGCTAGAATGCCAAACCTGAAGAAACCGGTTCAAAGCTATCAAAATGCATTGCATTGATAGTTCATCGGGGTTTATAAAGTTTAGTGCCTTTGACATGGCAATAAACACCTCATCAGTCACACGATCAGGTACTCCCTGGAAAGAATATATAGCCAGAGATAAGAAAATGAACACTTCATAACAATCCAATTTTATCTGATGAGCAAAAGCATGCACGAGAAGGAAGCAACAAAGATCCACACGAACTTGAAAAGTCAGCAATCGAAGTAGACAAAACCATAAGAAAGCATGCAAACAAACTACAAAATCTCATAGGAAACTTGAACTCAGACAAATGGCCTATTACCTGTTTTCTCATCCATTCTTCAACTGATAAACCATCTTGGGCCTCAACATAAGCCTGACCGCCTACCATAGCGGGCAGAAGTCCGATAGCAAACTTTATCTTCTCTGGCCATGTCAGCATTTCATTGTTCCGCAAAATAGCCCAAATACCTACAAAGTAAATATCCACAGAAACAACTTAAAGTATCCGCAGGAAACAAATTACTTCCACCAGGGGATAATTCATCACTATGCCATAACGGAGTTCATTTATCCTATCTTGCTTTTACCCCTAACAGAAAATTTCAGTTTGATTTACCCTTCTACATAAGTGGATTCATTACGTATGTTTAGTGGAAGCTCGAAATCTTCCTTGCTTTGAAATGAAAAATGAACATGTTCTTTTTAACATTTAGACTAGATGTATATCAATGTAACGTTCATGCGTTCTTTGCATTTTTGGATCTCAAAATCTACCATTAACGCTCATGTGTTTGCATATTAATCCAACAATTTCGAACCAATCCGATGATGCCATGAACTAAGAAACCAACCACTGTCTTCATCAGATATGCTATATTTGAA